TCTCAGCAACCAACCAACTAAATTCAATGAAATTTTTTATTTCGATTCTACGAAAAACTAAAGGATCAAAATAAAAATATTATTTAATTTTAATTAGGTGGTCGTTGAGATATCTTAGCTTGAATTCTTGAAATTTTATAGAAATTTGATATATCAAGAACGCTACCTCAATTTAGAGGTAAATCAGACCTATCAAAAAGTAACCGCAGATCTACCAAAAACGTAACTTTTGCAGCTCTGTCCGTAGAATTTTCAATTTTTTTTGTGGGAATTTTCCCCTAGATCGCCACCAAAATTTTCACTGGCACGTGATTATTGTGGCGCACCACAACTTGGTACATTCTTTTAAAAGTTCGGCACTGGACTTTAAATGTAGTAAGTTCTTTTTTTGCATAGTCTTGGTTTTTCATTTCAAGTAAACTAGCATGTTTTTCTTTTTTTGTACAGGTTCTTCGTGAAATCTGGAACTTGGAATGTGGTAGTGCTTTTTGTAGTTTTGGTTTTTTTTTTCTTTAAACAAAACTAATACTTCTTCACGGATCTTACTTCACTAGGTTTTCATTTGATCTTACTTAACTAGAACTTGCTTTGTCGGGTCTTGTTCCATTGGATCTTGCTTTGTTGGATCTTACTTCGTCGGGTCTTGTTTCGTTGAATCTTGCTTCGTTGGATTTTACTTCATTGGGTCTTGTTTTATTGGGTCTTGCTTCATTGGGTCTTGCTCTGTTATATCTTACTTTATTGGTCTAACTTTATTAATTTTTGCTTTGTTGGATCTTGCTCGTTGGATCATGCTTCTTCATATTTTACTTTGTCAGTTCTTGCTTTGTTGGGTCTTGCTTTGTTGGGTCTTACTTTGTCAGGTCTTACTTCATTAGGTCTTGCTTTATCGGGTCTTGCTTTGTCAGGTCTTATGTCTTGTCGGGCATTATATCTTGTTGGGTCTTACTTTTCAGGAGTCTTACACTTTGTTGGATCTTCTATTTTTTTTGTTAGGTTTTTTTGTTAATTAAGTAGGGTTAAAAATATGTTTAAAAAGTAGGACAAAATTTAAAAATATAATAAGTTATAGTTAGATTATGTTAAACTGAAATGTAAATTTAATGATAATATTAGAATAGGTTACATTAGAGTCAGGTTATTGGTTATTTTGTAATATTTAAATAAATAAAATTATTTTTTAGTGCAATTTTTATATAATACAAGTTTAAAAAATTCTTTAGACTTGATAAAAAATATTTTATTATTCAAATTCTACAGATCTTTAGAATTTGAATAAAGAGATATCTTCGATATTTAAAAATTTTAGCGCAGTTTCTATATATAATAGATAGTTTAAAAAATTCTAAAACTTTGATTGAAGATATCTTGGCAACTACCTGATCAAATTCAATAAATTTTTTTTTTTTATGAATTCTACAGATCTGAATAAAAACTTTTTCGTAACATTGGTTAAGTAGATGCCGAGATATCTTCAATCAAAGTTGTACAAAAATTTTCTACAATAGGTGTTTTAAAAAAATTCTAATACTTTGATTGAAAATATCTTGGTACTTACTTGGCCAAATTCGATGAAAATTTTTTTATTCGAATTCTACAGATTTGTAAAATTCGAATAAAAAAAATTTCATCAAATTTGGTTAAGTGGATGCTGAGTTACTTCGATTAAAGTTGCATTAAAAATTTTGGCGGAGTTTCATATAATAGGTGTTTTAAAAAATTCTAAAACTTTGATCGAAGATATCTCGGTATTTACTTGACCAAATTCGATGAAATTTTTTTTATTCGAATTTTACAGATCTATAGAATTCGAATAAAAAAATTTTCATCCAATTTGGTCAAGTGGATGCCGAGTTACTTCGATTAAAGTTGCGTTAAAATTTTGGCAGAGTTTTATATAATAAGTGTTTTAAAAAATTCTAAAACTTTGATCGAAGATATCTCGATATTTACTTGACCAAATTCGATGAAATTTTTTTTATTCGAATTCTACAGATCTGTAGAATTCGAATAAAAAAAAATTCATAGAATTTGGTAAGTGGGTGCCGAGATATATTTGATCAAAAGTTGTGTTAAAAATTTTGGCGCGGTTCTCATATAATAGATGTTTTAAAAAATTCTAAACTTCGATCGAAGATATCCCGGCACCTACTTGACCAAATTCGATAAACTTTTTTTTATTTGAATTCTACAGACAAGTAGAATTCGAATGAAAATATTTTCATGGAAGCTGATCAAGTAGGTGCTGGGATATCTTCGATCGAAGTTTAAAAAAAACTTATTTTATGAATCAAATTGATGTACATAGAGTTATTCGTGATTGGTTTGCGCCACAGATAATCACGTGCCGGTGAAAATTTTGGTGGCGATCTAGGGGTAGTTAATCTCGGTTGAACCGTATTCTAAAAAGATCTTCATTTTACCATTTATTAAATTAATTCGTCAGCGCAAATGATACGTAGTACTGTATATATTTAAATATTATCACATACAGTGTGTGTGGGCATTAAACATGCCAGCGCGGGTTTTGACCAAACCTATAAATGTTATCAAACAAATTAGCAACGTTAAGAGAAGATATTGATGTTTAGGCTTTAAACATTTATTACTGTATCGCTAATAATAATTTTTTTTAAAAAAACTGATATGACATGCTATAAAATGAAGATCTACGGTTTGTGTCAACAACTACATAGCAGATACTTAATCATCAACCTTTTATTGTTGTTATACAGCATTTATTCTGGGATACGATATGGTAATTCTTATCTGGTGACATTTGGCGACATCTAAAAGCGTCGGATCGTCGGTCACACTTTTGGTTTAATGGAAATTGTTCTCCGTTTGCTCCGGACAATAACTTAAAGACCATAAAATAACAATACTCAATTGCTCGTCTTTTAAAGGAAAGAAAAGAAGAGGAAAAAAAAAAAAAAATTATAGTAAATTTTCTCACAAACAATTTAAAGAATCAATAAAAATTATCATATCAATCCTATTACTTTTTCACAATACGCAGTTATTTTAAATATTATGAAATGCAACCTTGCAAAATTATTTAATGTCTTTAGGCATTTGTCCACAACATTGTAATTATACTCGAATATTTATTAACCAGTTTACAACAGTTACAATACATACTATTTAAAGTTCTTGATAGCATTGGTTATCATTTTTCTGCTGACTCATTGACGCGTAAAACAAATATTTAAGCATTATTTATATTTATATAAATGCATCATGTTAATCATTAACTAAAAATCCTATATAAGAAATAAATTCCCACTTATTTCTCAAATCTTCAACAAAAAAAAATGCTTCTTACAAATCACTCGAAGTTATTTACATTCTTGGCTCTTATTTTTATTTTTTACCTTTCTTTACTTTCTGTTACTTTCGGTCACGATCAACACCCTGATGCTAATAAACCTTGCCCATTAGCTGAAAAATGTCCTTATTATAAAGCTGTTCAATCTGGTGAAAAGCTTGAAGATATTGATTGGACCACCACCAAATGCCCTGCCGCTGAAAAATGTCCTTATTTTGAGGATGTTAAGAAAAAGGCTGAAGCTAACGATGGAAAATTGCCATCATTTGAGAAGGGTTGTCCCTATGCCGAAAATTGTCCACATGCTGACAAACATCATAAACATTCTAAAGATGGTGATGAATCAAAATGTCCTTATATGAGTGGTGATATGAAAGGTTGCCCCTATTTAAGTGGAGAAGGAAAAGAAGACAAGGATGCCGCTGCTAAATGCCCACACTTTCAAAAGATGAAAGCGGAGAAAGAAGCTGCGGAGGCGGCAGCTAAAAATAAAGACGAATTATAAATTACTGTATTATTGCTTTTGTCTTTTTTTTTTTTTTTTCTTAGTTTAAATTGAATATATCTTTCTTTGCTAGCTGTTTTTTTTTCTAAATAGTAAATTTGGCATTTAATAGTACAATTATGTTTTGGACCCATTATCCGCTAATATTCGTTTTTCGGGATTATCTTATTGTCTGAATGAGGGTCCTATGACCATATTTTTACTCCCAGGATCACAAGATCTACAGCATATGAACTAGGCTATTATCGTTATACTGTATATATTTATTTTATGCCATTTTCTATTAATATCTGATATGTGTGTGATTGTGACGTAATTAAAGTACGTACGTACGTGCGTACGTAATGTAATTTTTGTACGCATATATGTAGAATTTTCTAGATTTTATTAAGTCTTTTGAATCAAATTATGCATTTACCATAACCCGGGTATTCTATTTTTCCATGTGACAAAATTTTGATTTATACCCGGGTATGAGAGTATTATATAAAGACGGTGTATTAACTCGTTATAAAAAAAGTAATATTAAATGGTCTTTGATTTGTACTCAAGGTTTCTGCAAAATATCAACAAAAAGCCTTGAAATATACTCAGTACAAATCAAGAGAATATGTATAAATCAAGAGGGGTGTTTTGCACAGCAAAATGCAGTATATTTTGCTCCGCAAATTACCACATAATAATATAAGCAAATTAATCAGATTTATCTCCACTACTGCCTACTAAAAAGAAAATATTTGGTTTTGTTTTGCAGTTTTTTCTAAATATTTTAAATTTATTTGGTATCTTCTAGTTAATTATTGGATCTTTTTTTTTAGTCAATTTCAAATATTCCCTGCAACAAAGCGATTGATCTTTAGTATAGGTGGGTATATAAATTTATTATAAAATAACAATATATAAAAATTAGCTATTTTGATTTAAATTAACCAAATTTATAAATATTTAGGGTTAGAGTGAGGGCTAAAAAACTGCTGATGGCTCAAATATAGCATCTGTTATAATTATTCGGGTCCTGTATAAATTGGTTTTAAGTTAATTATATTTTAAACTTTTTTTCAATCATTATAAAACATATATATAGTAGTGTTGGACGATGATGTCATATAAATGACAGAACTCATATGATTTGTCATATTACAATATCATATGAAGTATCGTATATTAATATTTATGACATAATTTATATCATATGTCATATATTTCATATGATTCATATGATTCTATATCATGAAATATCATATGACATTATGATATCGTCCAACACTGATATATAGTCTATTTTTTAAAAAACTTTTTAATAAAGTTTTACAAACCTAGAACAAATTAAATTTTTAATTAAATTTGAGTTTGATTTGAGTTTAAATAGTTTGACTTGCAAACTTTTAGCTAAATTTGAATTTAATTTAAATTTAGTTTAGTTAAATTTGAATTTGATTTAGGTTTGGTTTGAAATTTGTTTGAGTCTAAATATAGAGAGTCAATAAAAAAAAAGGAACAAATTATTTTTATTAAATTTTTTTTTAATTTTTAAACTAAAATATCTTAATAACTATTTAATCAAATTTGCTAAAAAAAATTTATTAAATTTGATAAGATAATTGTTAAAAATATTTAAGCTTAAAATCAAGAAAACTTCTATTTAAAAAAAATATAACTTTTTTCTATTGACTTTTCCCATATATATAAATATATTTTTTAGTGCAAAACAAGTTTATTTAGATAAAAGCAAAATCAATTGGTAAAGTTTTAAGAATTATAATATTTTTTAATAAAATTGTTAAAATATTATATTATTTAAAATTTTACTAATTTATATTAGAAGACATCTATAATTTATATTAAATTAGTATAGTATAAAGATTTTGAAGATAGTTCTAAATAGTATAATTTTTTTTTAATATTAATAAATAGTATAATTTTTATATTAGAAAAGTGTTAGATATTAGCTAATATCATAGAGTAGTGAGGAGATAGACAAAATCTCAGGTCTAAATATATACTTATAACCAATCAGAATGACTAAACTTCTCAAGAGAGAGAGAAGGATAAGCTTTATAGTAAACTGATCTCAGCTAATATCTGACACATTTCTTATTTTTAAAATCTCTATAACAATACTAGTTTAATATAAATTATAAACATCCTTTTGTATCAATATATTTTTTCTTATTTTTTTTTTAAATTTTAAAAAAAGATGCTTAATTTTGAATTTTTATTAAAAATTTTTATTAAACATTTTTTTTTTAAATTTTTAAAAAATAACAAAAATATACTAATAATATATTTTTTAGTATTAAACAAGTAAATATAAAATAAATTTTTTTTTTAAACTTAGGCAGTTTTGCTAATACTTTATTAAGATTTCAAGTATATTAAAAAAATATATATATTTATTTCTAATTTGTAAGTCTGATATTATTTGGCTTTCTTTTTATAGATAAGGTGTTCAAATACAACCTGCTTTACTAATCTGAGGCCTAAGATTAGAGACTTATATTAAACTAGCTTAATTGCTATACCAAAAAAGCTTCTTTTCTTCTTTATATAACAAGATATTTGCAAAAAACAAAATAAGAAAAGAGAGTTTAAAAAAAAGAATATATCAAAAAAGCAAAAAAAAAGAAAAAGAAAATAATAATAAAAAAATAAAAAAATAAAAAAGAAAAAAGCTATATGATAAACAAGAAAACTAGTCTAATATAAAAAAAAACTAAACTAAAAGTAACAAAAGACTAGAAGACAAAAAAAAAGAAAAGACTCAACTAAAAAAATAAAAACAGAGTTTGAAATAATACACTATTATAACTTGTGTTAGACAGATAAAAATTGTATAACAACTATAATAGTTGTATATCTTTACTATAAAGCTTTGCCTTAATATATATATTTTTTTCTGACTGACCAACTATCTTCAGATATTTTTTCAACTATTAGGTCTCAATTTGACTCTGATCTAGCTTATAAGGTAGCACTATATCTATAAGTAAGCATGGCACATAGTTGCATTTTACTAAGTATATTCAAATTAGAAAGAGTAAACAATGCTGATCTTTTGAAAAAAATAAACCAAATTCTTACTTTTTGTCAAAAATTTTGAAAAAATAGAGAGAAATAAAGAGAAGTGATAGAAAAGCTACTTGTATTTTTTTTTAAGAAATATTTATTTTTTTGCAAAATAAAAGTATATATTCTAACTAAAAGGAAAGTGAAGTATTGCTAGCTTTTGTACTAGTAAGTGATAAACTTTAAACAAGTAGCATATAGGGTGAGTTAATAGAAAAGTGATAAATTTTTCTAAGTAAAAGTTTTCTTGACTTCAGTTTTAAATATCTTGGCAATTATCTTATCAAATTTAATAAAAAATTTTTATTTTAATTTTATATAATTTCAAATTTAAAAATTAAAAAAAATTTCACTAAAAATGATTGTCCATTTTTTATTAACTTACTTTTATATAAAAACTACTTCTAAACAACAAGTACTGTGATAAGTAATAAATTTTAAGCTAGTTAGCAAATAAATAACAAATGCTTTTCATATTTACAACAACATATAGATTGAAAATTTAGTATAAGTAATTATTAGAAAGTGTGCTATATAAAATAGTAAAATTTCAAATAATATAATATTTTTTAACAATTTTATTTTATTTTTTTTTAATTTGGCAATCCTGCCTTTATTGTTACTAGAAGTAGAGTATAAACAAGTACACAAAGTGTCTAAACAAAAAGTCTGCAATTATTTAAATGCCTTTGACCCTTCTATTTTTGCAATAAAGACTCACTTAGCTGCTCATAATAGTGCTCAAGTGTGATTTTTCTTCTTCAAAGAGAAAAAGAAAATAGAAAAAATAAAAAAAAACAAAAGAAAATAAATGCGATGAAAAAAAAATGAAAAAAAAACAAAGAAAAATAAAAAAAACAAATACAAATACAAAAAAGAAATATAAAAAAGAAAATGACAAAAAAAAGAAAACAAAAAGGACAGCAGAAAATTCTATCTTTTAGTACTACTATTACCATACTAGGCTAAAAAAAATTATATAACAAATATGGTATTTGTATATTTCTACTATAAAGCTTCATCTTAGCATTTAAATTTTTCGACTGGGTTATCCAGACTCCTAAATGATGTAAGCAGCCTAACTTGATATTACATGAAGCAGCACAGCCTGCAAACAAAACAAACCAAACATATAATCACAGCCTGCTAGAACTGTTCAGATTTAGTAGGTGTAAACAATGCCAATCTTTTGGAGGAGGTAAGCTGTTTTACTCACTTTTGTGAAAAATTTTGGAAGAGTGACAAGGAGGCGGAAAAAAGAGATGACATCACTTGTTTTGTTTGGTAAAAGAGTGTATTTTTCTTATTAAATACGACAGCAATATATACTTCTCACTTGAAGGCTAAAAGAATGGGTACTTATTCTTTTTGGTAAGTAATAAACTCTAAACTTGTCGACAAGTAGTGTATAAAAACTACTTCTAAACAACAAGTGCCATTCCCTGCAGTGAGTGATAAACTCTGAAACTATCAGCAAGTAACATATGAGAATGACCTCTAAATGATAGTTGCTAACTTATAGGCTTCTCCTTTTAACTTGACCAGTATATACACTTGTATTTTTTAAAAAGCTTTTGAATTTTTTGTAGAAAAGTGATCGTCAGAAAGAGTTGGTTAAGTATATTTTGTTTAATAATTTTATAAAAAATATTATAAATTTTAAAATTTTACTAATTAGTTTTGTTTTTATGTTTTAAATAACCTTGTTTAGCACTAAAAAAATATATTTATATATATTCAAACTATATTCAAACTTAAACTAGTTTAACAAACTTCAAACTAAATCTAAATCAAACTTATAATTATATTAAGTTTGAAATTTGTAAAAAATTTATTATTTAAGTTTGAGCTTAATTTGAAAGTTTGAAACCTTACTTTTTAAGTTTTTATAAGTTTTGTTTATAAAATTTTTAAATTTTTATTTTATAATTAGT